GCCCAAATGCGCCTATTTGACTGCAATGACTAAAAAGCGTGAAGCAACCATTCGCTTGGACATGCTCTTGATGGACGACATGCGCAAGCGACAGAACAACGTGCGCTGCTTGGTGTAATTCGTCCATCGGCACAGTTTCGCTCGCCATCAAGTACGCGTTCGACAGAGTTCAACTGTTTGAAAAGAGAATAGCCGACCGCACCAACGGCACAAGGTCAGCAGCACACTATTCTCTTGCTCCCGCCCCACGAGTAGTGGTAGATGGACGACGAGAACTCGGCGAATGGCACGAAGTACCGGTACGCCAACATCTACCAGTGGTCCTGAAGTCCTCGTCGCGAATACTGTCGCAGGTACAGTAGCTTTGATCGAGAAATGCGTTTTTATACCAGGTAGCTTCGATGGAAGCCACAGTGAGTTGTCGGTACAAGCTTGTCCGGCGAAGAAAGATCCACCGTCGGATGGACTTCTGATTGGTTAATAATGAAACTTTATTTAGATTAAATGAACGTAATGTTTGTGAGTAATAAAATAAATCCGACATGCAGACAAATTTTGTCCGAGGGTGGATGCGATTGGAGTACTAGCTTTCGGAGCAAGGTTTGGCACGACCATGATGCCAAGCGCTTTTGCAGAGGCGATCAGCGTGACAATGCGTCCGGGAAGATAGCGAGGCCAAACGTGAGCAGCTCGGTTTTGGCGCGGTTCGGCTTGAAGCCAGAGGAAGAACAAAACGTGTCGACGAGTGCGAGTAGCGACGGTGCGTCCCTAGCGACGAGCTGCGCGTCATCGGCCAAGCAGCTGACGACGTGTTGGCGGTCGTTGATCGTGATTTTCCATGGCAGGTGCGTTCAATCTCTTCACGAGAAAAAGGCCAGAGTGCTCAGCTTGGCTTGCCTACTCCAGCGCTGGCTCCATTGGCCGGCTTGCGGCCGAGCTTCTTCATTTACGAACGGTCGAGCAAGATGCAGGGCTGCTACCCCTGCAGCGGGGACGGCGCGCTGCCACTGATTGCGTGCGCAACGCAAGGTAGCACCAGCTCTGTCCGACATTCGATGACAACAAACGATTAGGTTGCAACAACTTATTCCATCGCTCGTGCGCTCCCGATGGCGACAACCGAGACGTCTGGTTCAACGCGTGTGGTAAGTTCGTATCAACCCATGCAAGAAGCCGCTCACACTTGTCCATGTAGTGCCACCGACCACCGACGACGACGAAGCCGACAACAACGACGAGCACGTCGCCGACGAAGAGGCGAACGATGCCGCTGAGCTGGACGATGAGGCTGAAGCGGCGGCCAACCATGCAGCGAGTCTGCAAGCCTTGCGAGCGATCCCGGTCCACTTCTGCGACTAGTATGCATATTGGTGATTGCTGCGTAGTTCATTGGTCAGTGCACTGTCGGAGAAGCGATTGACCTTCTCATGGCACACGACTTTTGCAAGACGACTTTTCCGCGTGCAGAGCTGTTTCGTCGACTCGCTTCTCTAGTCAGCACGACCGATGACCTTCCATCGATGCACGCTGCAGCAGCTTCGCAGCAAACTAACAAGCTCGGGTCACGGCGCTCGTCAAAAAACTCTTGGTGTCCATCGATGTGACGTTCACGGCTGAGCAGCGAGCGTTCCTCGAGCGCCTCGGCGATAGAAAATCGGTCGAAGCGCTACAAGAGACCTTGGCAAAGTACGTGACACGATGTAGACTGTCTCAACTGATGGCAATGCTATGGTAGGTAGTGATGCGACGCGCCAGGCTACGCAAGCGCGGTTCTTCCAGCTTCAAGTGGCCATCGCAGTTGACGAGTACAGTACGCTGCCGCAGACGCCGAGGCCAACGAGTAAGCTGTTTCAAGTGCGCCAATCGAAACCAACATGGTCGTAGGCCATCCTCCAAACGCCGAACGACATCGACGGTTTCTTGCTGTACGCCACGGATCGAGACGACGGGACCTCATCCCGGCACGCGTAGGGCGCAGTTCGACGACGTTATGCCCCAGCAGACGTATTGGCGGGTGTCCTCCTACGCGTTTGAAGTATTCAGGTACAGCGAAGCACGGCTCGACGAGTTCCAGACACCCAAGATTTTCGGGTGTCCGGTACTCGTCGAGTCGTGCTTCGTCGTACCCGAACGCTTCAAACGCGTAGGCGGATATGAGCCAATACGTATGTTGGGGCATGCCGTCGTCGAACAGCGTCCTATGCGTGCCGTACCGATCGCTCTTGATCCCCGTCTTGTGCATGTACGGGGCATGGACGGTGATCTCGTTGCCGAGGAGTACTTGGACAAATCTCTCGACGGCGTTGAGCAGGGTTTTTTGTCTAGCACACGCCACTTGCCCTAACTTAGCCTATTTACAATACGAGGAGTTGCCTTATCGACTCAGAACTCGCAATGTGTTAAGGTCGTAGAGCAAAAAACGCCTTCCATGGAGCCGATGGTGAGCTGCTGCGTTGTCTTGTAAAATTCGACCATTGGAAATTTGGAAACCGCTAGACGAGGTCGTAGAGGTACTTGGTGCTCTACGAATAGACCCTTCAAGTATGGACAAGTTGTCATTCGTGGTGGCCTACCATGGCCAGACACTTCTTTCGGCGGTCGGGTTTTGTCGGGTCGAGGCAGCACAAGATGGTTTCGATGACCGCGGGGAGGTGCCTATGAGGAGGTACTGGAGATTCACCGACGTCATACGGTAGACGAGGACGCCTTCACGGTACGCATAGCTTCGATCGCTTGTGCTCATCTCTTGTTGGAGCACAACCAAGACGGAGGCGGCCTCGCACGTCCCGAGCTCGACGAGGAGACGCATCGCGGCCTGCTTAAGCCGCTTCCGATCGTCGTCGGAGGGGTCCAGCGTCAAACGGAATGAGCTGCACCACCTATTTCCATAGACGCTCGTGTATTTGGTGTCGTATAAAGTGAGGAGCATGACGCACGAGCTGGGCGAGGTCGACAAGGTGTGGGCGGAAGAGGAGGAGGCCCTTGGCGAGGAGCTCGGCCGCGACGCAGGCGGTCGCCGGTGGGCCTTGGAGCAGCGACACAAGGACGTCGCACACTTGGCGCGCGCTCG